AGCGTCTCAATTCAATTCCCAGAAATTGCAAAAGTATGTAGGCTGTTTGGGGGGGAAGGGGAATTCATTTAAATAAATTCTGCTGCTCTGATATACTGTCAAACATTTTGTAATGAAATTTGTAAGCACTCCTCTTACTTTTCACACATTGGGTCAGACATTGTTCATAAAGTCCTCTTACTTTTCTCTATCTCCTATCTCTAACCTTGAAATTTCTGTCTCAAATATTCGCACACAGTAGAGGATTAAAAGTAATTTAAAGTTGTAATAGCAAGTGATACAAGTGTGATATATTTTCAACTCACATCTTCAGGAGGTTTGCTTAAAAAATTAAAATATTTTGGCATTAATGGTCCACAGTGGATTAAAGATTTTCTGATAGGGAGAGAACAAACTGTAATAATAAATGGCTCTAAATCAACACAGATAACAGTAAACTCAGGTGTACCTCAAGGAACAGTCTTGGGTCCACTACTATTTTTAATTTACATAAATGATTTACCAAATTGCATTACTTCAGGAACAAAAGTCAGATTATTTGCAGACGATTGCATAATATATAGAACAATAAAAACAACACAAGACAGATATTTTACAAAGAGAATTAGATGAATTACAGAAATGCGAATCAAATTGGAGCATGTCTTTCCACCCAGAAAAATGTCAGTTGTTAAGAATAACAAAAAAACTAAAACAAATTAATTCCACTTATCTTATTCATGGCAAACCAGTAACACAGACTAAAAACGCAAAATACCTAGGTGTTATAATAAATGAAAAACTGTCATGGAATCCACATATTGATGAAACTATAAAAAAATCAAACAAAGCATTAGGATTTATTAAAAGAAATTTCTATAAATCAAATAAGAACATAAAACTAAAATGTTATTTAACCTTGGTTAGGCCAATAATAGAATATGCATCCTCCATTTGGGACCCCTCAACTCAAGAAAACATTAAGAAACTGGAACAGACACAAAATAGAGCAGTGAGATTCGTAACGTCTGTATTATATAAGATAAGATAAGGAAAACTGTGGGGCAAGGAATCCCTTAGCTTGTTAGTAGAGCACATAACTCTTAGAATGCCCTGAATGTTGATGACAAAAAAATTGTTTTGGTTATGATGTTCCTATCAGGTTTGTTGAAAGATTGGAACTGCTTCACATGGGGAACATTTTCAACCATAGATTCTAGTCTAGACTATCATCCCAATCAGAATCCTGATTAGACATAATTGTTTTGTAAAATGTTTAACATGTTTCGGATGTTCCTTCAGAGTAGAAGATAATTTACTTATTAGCCCGAACCTCCTATGGGACAGTGGGTGATGCGAGCGGGCTGGGTATGAACCCGGGATCATCAAGATGACCGAACAGCAGTCCAGCATGCATACCACATGACGAGATTTAAAGTACAGTCGTATGCATTTATTTGGACCAGCCGCTTATTTGGACTTAATCTAATAGCATTGAAATAAAATCCTATTATACAGTTAAATCCAGTTATTGAGACCAAAACGATTGCATTCTGATCTGGTATGATTAACTGGATTCTACTGTAATTATAATAATACTGTTTTGACTTTTTAATGATTATATTAAAACTCATTAAAATTTTCTTTTACTGTTATTTATTTATTTCTTTATAAAGGAATCTTTTGTGGATCAAAGACAGTAAAATGTTTTTTTTTCAGATTCTTCTGGAAGCAGATCCAGAGCTAGTCCTGTGCCAGGACAGATATGGCAAATCTTCTTTACATTTGGCAGTTGATACTGGAAACGAAGAGATTGTGAGGCTACTTCTGGAGCATGGAGCAGACGCCAATGTCAGATGTCACGAGGGCTTGACCCCGCTAATGTACTGCTGTACACCTGACACTGATGGAATGAGGGTGGGGGTTTTAAAGCTTCTTCTGGAAAGTGGGGCAGCAATTGCTTTGAAAGATCACAGGGGAAAGAGGAGTGCTTTACATGTTAGTACATAATCTTGTTCTGGGAGTGCTTTACATATTAATAAATAGCTTGTTCTGGATTGTTTAGGACTATTGTACATAATCTTGTTTAGGAATGCTTTACACATTGGTACATAATCTTATTCTGTGATAGTTTTAAGACTATTTTACACAATCTTGCTCTTAGAGTGCATAAGTACATATTCTTGTTCATGGAATGCTTTACGAGGTAGTGCAGAAATATCAATCCATATATTGCACATTATTACAAGCAGATGAGACTCTTAATCATACACCAAACAGACTCATCTATAATAGGTTATGAAGACTTTAAACTTAACACACAATAATATGTCAATTCCAACTTCCTATACATTACTCCATTTTTTGGATCCCCCTCTCGATCTTTCTCTTTCAACACGCATTTGCACCATTCCACATTCACACTATGCTGCGCACATAAGACACGTCTTAATATCTCCCTTGGTCTTAGCCTTATCAATAGAAAAATTTTTAACAAATGTGTATCATCTGAAAAGATTTCTTTTTTTTTTTTAACCTTTTACTTTTACCCATCCCTTAGTCCGTTGGGGCACTGTGCAAAATTTGTTGACCATCATTCTCCATTCCTCCCTGTCTTTTGCCTTAGTTATCATTTTATTCACGATTTATTAGTAAAGCTAGAGACACACTTAGAAACTGAAGATTTAGGCATGGTCTGACAGTCTCTTGAAGTATTCATTAATAGATAAATAGATTGTAGATGCATCATATCAAATATTATTTATTTATTTTCTAGATAGCTGTGATATCTGGAAATGTTGTAGCAGTAGAAATTTTGATTGGTGCTGGAGCAGATGTGAATGAAATAGACAAGACCTTGCGGACACCTCTCACTCATGCAATATCGTATGGGGTCAGAGGCCCTGTGGTGAATGAGGTGTTCATGAGAATTATTATGCTGTTAGTGTCTGCTGGAGCAGAACTGAATGTCAGGGTCAGTGAGAGTTGCAACCCTTTGTTGACGTCTGCCCTGTTGAAGTCGGACACTTTAGTCAAGTATTTCTTGTCCTTGGGAGCAGATTGCAACATTAAGTGTAAGATAAGTTAATTATTTTTTTAACAATTACACATTTTCTTTTTGAGTTCAACTCATTAAATGTCGGCCATACAAACAGATGAACTTTACATCATCATGCCCCCATAGATCGTAAGATCTGAAAGGGGTACTTTCTTCTTTCTTTTTTTTTTCACTACCAGCTTTATAAGTTGCGACCTGCATAGTTTGCCACATCTGATGCATATACCTTGTTCGCCGGGGGTCTTTTAAAGTTTTCTTTTCGTCTTCTGCGCCTATCTTTGACAACAGCTTTTAATTGGGCCTCAAATGTGTGTCCCATGACCTTTGTGAGAGCTCTCTAGCTGTTTCTTTCAGCATTACTGGTATTTTAGTAATAATATTAATAAATGTTTTACTCAGACATCTAGTATTTTGCACTTTGCTTAATGCTAATAAATTTAAAAGTCAAATGTAATAAGCTAATATCATTTTATCTTTATTTGTTTTAAAAAAATATATAATATGAGGAAAAAAGAAGTTATGATTTTCAAAAATTATTTGATTAAAGGCAACGAATAAACATTTGAGATATATATTTAGAGAATGACCCAAAGTTTATATCAAATAGGATTTGCTGCCTGGTTAGGTGGCATCATGTCATCACACCCTGCCTACTTCGATTCCCTGCTGTCCTGCAGGAGGTTTGGACCTGGAAGTAAAAATCTCTGATGGAACATTCAAAACTTTAAGCTACTCATTAAAGTTCCTCCCCCAACCTGATTTCTGCCAGATTTTTTTATTAATACATAAATAATTTTTTTTTTAAAATAAATAATTTGAGAATAAAGGAAGTTATGGTTTTTTTAAAATATGAATTATATATTTAGATTGGAATTGAGGATTTTATCTAATAGTCCACCCCTGAATTCTTCGACAAATTATGTTGAATGTTGCACTCATCTTTTAAAATAAATTTCTAACAATTTCATGAATACCTTTATTCTGATCAGTCTCGTCTGGAGTAACTCCATCCCTGGTGTGTGCCAGCAACGGTGATCTAGCCACTTTAAAGCCTCTCATCTACCACAACTGTGACCTGACTATCAAAGGCAACGTATACAAGAGGAAGTGGAGGCTGGAATTCATCCTCGACACATTTGAATTGGCCTACATGGAGGGCTATCTCGACCTCTGTACACTGATGATCAGGTCAGGCTACCCTGTCAGCACATTGAGACACATTTTTGCCAGAGACTTGGCGGAAACTGAAGAGAATACAGCGGTGCAATTAGACTTTATGGACCACCCCCATTTAACATTGTGTAACTCTGCACGACTCCCACCAGATTTTAGAGAAACACTGAAATGGTTTCTTGAAGTGGCAAGCAATCCTAGATCACTTCGAGATGAAGCTGTTAGGGTAATAAGATTGTGCCTTGGCCAACGACTGATTCTCGGAATCGAAACGTTACCCCTTCCTAGCTTTGTAAAAAGTTATATCTTGTTTAACCATTTGTTATTGAACTAAAAGTTGGTCATAAACCTGTGTTTTATCACAGTTTTGTTGGTTGCATTTGATCTACAAAAAAAACCCACTTATTTTCAGAGCATTGGTTTTAAAAAGTACTCTCTTTTTTTAAAAAGATTGAAAAGGTCGTTAGATGAATAGATCTGTCTTCATGAGTTAGTTGTGATGTATTTAGTGTGTAGCAGCGTGGTTAAAGGTGACTTATTCGAATTCTGGAATAAATTTTGCTGAAGTTTATACATTCTAATTTTTATTAAATCAAAAGTATTAATAAAATTTACAAAAACCAGTCAAAACATGTTACATTGAGCATGTACTTATACAATTTTGATATAACTAAATCATTTCATTTCATGTGGGTATGTTGACTCATAGTCTGGCACTCAGTGTTCTGACACCAAGACAAAGTATGCATCAGATGCACATGCATGTTTGTGACATGCACATCTTGCCTCTTTTCACTCGGGCACGACATGGCCTAAAAACTAACTCAAAGCCCCTCTTTTTACTTGTCTCTTGCTGCATTAAGTGGTTATACGTTCTTAAATGTTTTTCGGTCATTATTATATGGCAGTTTACATGCTATATTCTTTTTAGTGTTTTCTTATGTATTTAAATGATAGCAAGTGAAATTGGTCAACTTGAGCATACAACTTTCTCTTCTTAAAAAATTGTCAATTATTAAGTGGCGGTGAAACTCTTCAGTTTATGTCAACAGCGACCTTTGTGAAAAATAGTTTTGGGAGATCTATTAGTTACGAAAAAAATATTCCCAAGATGAAGTTTTTTCTTTTTCGTCTCTTGTATATTTATAGTTTTTTTTTTACCTAATTACACCATTAACAGAATTTTTTCTGTAATGATTCCCCCAGGGTTGTGAAACTGTCCCTCTCGGGAGTCAATGGTAATTATATTCTGTAATTCCGAAGTAATGCCACACTCCTCTAAATCATTGATTGTCATAAGAATTTTAGGTCTCTAGGCCATTGATAAAGCTCCTATACACTAACATGGATGAAAGAAGGTTGTTTTTTTTTTCAGACCTGTTGTGAGTGTGAAGGTGAAGCACTGACTGTGGGTCTCCCTCCACTGCTTTAACAAAAGCCCCTTTTAGAGTCAATGTGATGGGTCGTAGGATGGGGGCCTACTTCAACTCTGCTGCCAAGTGCAATGACCCTAAGTTCTTAAATGTTTGTCAATCAACATAAAATGTATTGTTTGTTTTTTAAATAACAAATAACAGAATTAGCATTTTAGTTTTCTCACATTTCAATTTTCCCAGTCAAGACTTAAACATTGAATACCCTTGTGATATTACCATTATGATTTTTCTACTTGATTTAAAGAATTTGTTGACTATTTTTTAAAAATAAAAATATTTTCCTAATTATATAATGACTTTACTTGCTTGGCTGTTAAAGAACTATTTTCAGGGTTAACTTTTTTCTTGTTTGCTTGCTTGCTCGCCAGTGTTTGTTTAAAAATAACTATATCTAGTTAAATGTTGACACAGCAGTACAGTGAAATTAGTTTCAGTTTCCAGTCACTATTGGCCAGACATTAAGAAGCTATTGATCATTTGCTTCAACAACAGAAATTTAAATTTTGATGGTCACTTTTAGCAGCACAGTTTCTTAGAACAATCTTTCAAATAACTTTACTTAAATTATTTTTAGCTTAGTTTTAAGTCAATTACTTCTCCTCGTTATAAGGCCGATATAATTAATTGTGGATTTAATTTAATTTTGCTGTCATACAATCAAGTTTCCATTTTGCAAGAAATTTAGGGAAACCAAACTACTCAGTCTTATGGTCCCTTACAAAGCATTGACATATATGACTAATACTGCAGCACATTTCAATGCATGGAGAACAATTTTCATTATGCTTTGTCTTGTAAAGAAAGCGCTGACCTAATTAAAAAAAGAAAATTCTTCTAATACTTAAATACCTGAAAAATGAACTAGTAGGTGCCAGCATTTAACAGTTTTAGCTCAAGATGTCATTTCATAATTTACATAGTAAACAACAGAAAATGTAATATGTTAATGAAAAACAAAATTTTAATGTCTCCACCATTACAGCAACATGTTGTATAAGAGACCATGACAGAAACAGTTTTAAAAATGATAAAAGGTAAAATGAAACATTTGTTTTCAAAACAATTTCATTAAAATCTCTCAACAACATTTCATACATTTCACTGCTGATATTGTGACTCTTGTTATTCTGACTCCTCGTCTTTCTTATGTTTCTTTTTCTTCTTCTTCTTCTTTTCAGAAACCTGACACGGGAGACACAAGTAAAATACTTCATTAGCATAAGAATCAACCATCGTCACAATTCGATCATAAATCTTCATATACAAATCCCAATAAAATACTCAAAGATAAAGGCACACTCCTCGTTCCATATGCTAGGACAAATTTGCACAAATACTTTTTGTCTCTAGTGCTATTTTAGGGCACTAGATTGCGTTGAATGTCTTTGGTATATTTAAAAATATTACTGTGCAAGATTTCTAGACCCACTGACAATTTTGTCAAATTCTGCAACTGATAAGATAAATAAATTTATCTTTATACTAAAACAAGGGCCTCATTTCCTTACCAAACAATTGTTAAACTCTCCACTAGACTGTGAATCTGCCAGGAATTACAGAAAGAGAATTGTTTACCCCATGAAGAACAATCGCATCTAAAAATAACTGATGAAATGTGAAACCTTTTATATTAACCATTGCAAATGGCTGCCTCTATCACTCGGTGTGTTTACATTGAATTGGTATGGATTTAATTCAAAATGCATGAACTAGGCTTACAATATGACTAAAGTTGATCAATGCCTAAGTTGTTGTTGACTCTAAATGTAATTACAATTTGCTATTACTTTCATTTTAAGAGACAGTGAGAGGCTTGACTGATAAGATACATTTTGAACTTATTAGATATACACAACAGAAGCAGAAAGAAGGGTGAAAATGGTGATTATATATGCCCAACCTGCAATCACAGCTGTGTATCAAGGATTGGCCTCTTTAGTCACACAAGAAGTTGCAAAGGGAAAAGATAAGTCTTTCTAGACGTAAAATGCCACAGGATAGAGCTGGTAAGATAGATTGGGAGGGAGACTTAGCAGACAGTTTGGTTAGTAGAGTTTAATTTGTTAATATCAGTATTTAGACATTGAGTGGCATAGCCTTTAAAAATACATTAAATTATGACTTTAAGCCTTTAACTGTCAAGGAACACAAATACCATAAACCATTATGTGTGAAAGTTTAAAGTATTACACAAAGCAAAGATTAATAACTATCCTCAAATCCATTAGGGAGAGGGCTTGAGAGGCTCAACTCCTCACTTCCAAATGTCCTGTGCTACAATCATAACACAGTAATGGTGCGAATGTATGTAATGAATAGAAGGGATGTTAAGAAATAGGAAGGTGGAAAATATGGACATGAACAGAGTTTCAAATATTATGATTACATTCTTCAAAAAAATATAAAAGTGTTTATAAAATAGGACCTGAGAGTGTCTGTTAATTTTTCAAGAGTTTTGTGTCTTGACACCCTGGACAATATACTTTCAGTACAACTGACATATACATAAAAAAAAAAAAAAAAAAGTAAGTTGTACAGAGACTGTTTAAAGTAAATACTACCTCTGCTTCCTCCACTGTTTCTTCTTCCACTAACTCTTTCTTTTTGTCTTTCTTTTTCTTCTTCTTTTTCTTGTCCTCTGATGCATCTCCTGCTGGCGTCATACTCTCATTCATCGACTTCTCTGTTTCACTGGCTGAGTCATCTTCCCTCTGGCGTTTCCGACTCACCTTGTCAGGGGAACTGAAAATTACGATAGAGATTTACTTCTGCAACAATACAGCTGAAACTTTCAGAAAGTTGTACGAAAATTAAAAACATTTAGTTTTGAAACAATTATTCATAGATTTTCCACAGCTAGTATGTCCTAAAGAACAAAACAGCAGCCTATCAAATAAGTTATCTTTTGGATACTTTAGCACCTGTAACCAACCTCAAGAGTTCAAATAGGAAGAAGGGGGTAACATAAATAAGTCATTTGTAACAGTTGCAGGATACAGAGAACAAGATGGCCTGTAAAAATATCTACTGGTACTATCAACTTGTGGGAGAGAACCAAGAAGAAACCCATAGCCCAAGATATGTGGTAAATATGAAGCTGGATAGGACAAACCTTAAAACTAACTACCACCTTTTCAAGGCAAGCATTTGATAGTACTCTGCAGAGGTAAACAGTGTACAAACTGAACATCCCATCCAGCCTTATTATGACCTTGTTATGAGCTAAGTAACTATCTCTTACCGTGTTTCTATTTTCTCTTTTTTCTCCACTGTCTCTGTCTTAACAGTGCCAGCACTGAAAACAAAAGAGCCTCCATTCAACCTTACAATCTAAAACATGAAGTTAGCAATCTTCTAATTGAATGAATGCATATGTTAGACACTATCTTTCCACCCACGCATATGATGCTCTGCAAGGGTCATCTGCAGCTGCGCAGATAAGGCCAGATCTGAGTCAACAAAAAAAAGCTAGCTGTAGCTTTCATACTCTCCGCCTTGACTACTGCAACGTGTTGCTAGCAATATAGCTGAAGATGAAATCTCCAAACTGCTTCCCTTAAAAGTTACGGTTTGCAGGCTTTTTCAGTACAAAGACTATAGTTTTGGAACTCACTACACATTGATCTCAGACAGACAAAACGCTTCGCTACACTCAAGAACATGAAGACTGTTTAAAACTTTTTTTAGACTAGTTTGTCATTTTAGCTCGTGTTTATGTTTGTAATATTATCACAGCGCCTTGAGCCTACATCATGTATGTTAACAGCGCTCTATAAATTAAATTATTATTATTATATAGGTAAACCAAATGACAATCACATACTTGAAGTCCTCAATGGCAGGGTTCCAGTTTTTAGGTGTGTTCTCATTGGGCTTGCCATATTTATCCAGGAGTCCTTTTTGTATCAACAGTTTCTTATTGCTAGCCTTTCAACATTTAGATATAATTAATTAGTCTAGGAACATGGCATATTTCAATGAACACGTTTTCATGTTCAATATTACTAACAGAGCGTAAATAAATGTTTAGTTTTACATGCTATCCATGAGAATTATGTTCTCATGGGACTTTAGAACAAAAAACATTCAAATCTTGTTAGAACTATATACAATATAATTAGCCTCAAATTACCTTTGGTCCTAATCCCCATTTCCTAGGGTAAGTATCTCTCTCCATTATGACTCGTTTTAGTTTGGCACAGATACCGTGATCACAGGAAGACATTACAGCTGTTGTCATTTGAGCTATGGCTGCAAGAGATACATTTCACATTATTAATCTTTCACTTTAACAATGCCAATAAAAAACATTTCTATAAGTGAGTCCAGATATTGAGAAGCATTTAAAAACTTGACTAAGTAAGCACACTTAATGAAACAGACCAGAAAGAATATCTACTTTGTCTCTTTTAGTAGAAAAAGTTAACACAAATGATTCAAAATTGTATGATTCATTTCACAGCACATTATAAGTCAGTAAAGCTACTTCCAAGACTTAGATGTCTATGGTGAAAGGAATTTAAAGAGAAACTATAGCCAGCAATAAAAGAAGGTGCAGTTTGAAGAAAACATGGAACTTTTCAAAGGAAAAGCATCCACCAAGACAAAAGTAGATTGAGAAAAAAAAAAAAAAAAAAAAAACAATATGAAAGATGTTGCAACAAGCTACACAAAACTACTAAGAT